GGTCAGCTGTTCCAAAAAACGGGCTTTGCGCTACTCGCGGGGAAGCACTTCCCCGGGAGCAGCCCAAAGGCTCGCCTTTTGGAACAGCTGACGGGCGGACCTTTGGGCTGCTCGCGGCGAAGCGCTTCTCCGGGAGCAGCCCAAGGGCTCGCTTTTTGGAACAGCTGATGGGTTCCAAAGGCCCGCCGGTCAGCTGTTCCAAAAAACGGGCTTTGCGCTGCTCGCATATATAAAACAATATAGTCTGTTTTGCAAAAAATAACAAAGATTTTGCTCTCTTTAAAAGCAAAAAACATTTGGGGCCTTTAACAAACTTTCTCATTGGTTTAGGTATCTGGCTGGGGAGCCAGAGATTGGGGTTTGGTTCCCCACTTTGTCTCCTACAAGTAGGGCCATATATATATATAAAAACAAGTACAGTGGTACCTCGACTTACAAACTTAATCCGTATTGGAATGGTGTTCGTAAGTCAAGCTGTTCATAAGTTGGAGCACCATTTCCCATAGGAATGCATGGGAATGGGATTAATCCATTCCAGCATTTAAAAAAAATACCAAAAATAAAAATAAACAGAGCAAGTCCTACACTGTGACTGCAAAAAATAAATAAATCCAAAAATAAGACAACATAGCACAGAAACATAACTCCCCCAGTCCAAACCCACCCTCAAAAACCCACCCAGAACAGTTTTTTTATAAAGGAAAAAGCAGCACCTTACCAGTCCGAAGCCTCCCAGGCTTGCACTGCTGCTGTGACCGCCAGTGGTGGGAGACTTGAGCCTGGCAGGGGTGCTTCAGCCACTCGCCTCCCACTTGCTCGCGCCCACTTGCTCCCACTTGCTCCATGGGCTGATGGCGGGAAATTCAAATGGCAGAGGGCAGTGAGGAGCGAGCAGGAGGCGAGCCGCCGAAGAAACCTGGCCAGCTCAAGCCTCCCGGTGCTGGGCTGCCGCTACCCCCGCCAGAGCACCCAGGAGGCTTAAGCCTCCTGGCTCTGGCTCACCCTCACCACCTGCCGCCCCTGCTGTAGCACCCAGGAGGCTCAAGCCTCCTGGCTCTGGGCTACCCCCAGGTAGCCCAGGGGGTAGCCCAATTAGGGCAAAACAGCTACAAAGCAGCAGCCTCTTCGCTTCCAACAGTTAGTAAATTCAAACTTCCCGTCCTTTCCCCCTGCCTTTTTGTGTTCATAAGTGGAAGCTCCATTCGCAAGTGAAAGCAAAAGTTTGCGAACGGAGCAGTTCGTAAGTCGAAATGTTCGTGGGTAGGGACGTTCGTAAGTCAAGGTTCTACTTTAATAGAGACATATTTTTCTACATACTAGTTAAGGGCAATTAGCTATAGTATCTCAAATATTCCATCCCTTATTCCTTTACACTTATTTACACAGAGTCACTCAAACATATATAAATTCATTCAAGATTAGTGATAATAGGTAAAGTTTCTCCTTGGCATTTAATCCAGTCATGTCTGACTCTAGGGCGCGGTGCTCATCCCCGTTTCCAAGCCGTAGAGCGAGCGTTTGTCTGTAGATAGTTTCATGGTCACGTGGCCAGCGCAACTAGACACGGAACGCAGTTACCTTCCCACAGTGGTGGTACCTATTTATCTACTCACATTTAGATGCTTTCTAACTGCTAGGTCAGCAGGAGCTGGGACAAGCGATGGGAGCTTACTCCGTCGCATGGATTCAATCTTACGACTGCTGGTCTCCTGACCTTGCAGCACAGAGACTTCTGCAGTTTAACCCACAGCGCCACCACATCCCTTAATGAAAATACCCAGCTTCAAATGGGTTAGACTGCAGCCATTCTCAATGGGGGGGGGGAGTCCCTGGCACATCTGAAATGGGTGTGTTTCACAGACTGGAAACAATTCTCCACATACAATCCTGTACATGGATTGTATTTATTCCATATTGTGTTTAGGGCTCTGGCCAAAAAAAGCAACATATGCATCATGCCCTTCAACCCATTGTATCTGCCATATTATACATCTCCCTCTCTCACCGGACAGTGTGGTTATTAAAAAACAAACTCAAATGGCATTTTCAGCCCACACTATTCTTCTCTCTCTCTGCTGTTCTTTGGTACAGATAACCACCTCAGATATGACGGGATAGCTTGTTTTTAGCTTGGCTAGAAGGAAATGGAAAGGACCAGTCATGGCTGAATTATATTGGTATGTCATGAGCTGAAGGATGGCAGATATGGAGAGGATGGGAAACTCTCACCAGACAAAAGAGAGATTTTTAAAAAATGCCCACGAGAAGAGAGAAGCCAGGGTCTTGTGGGGTAAGGTGGAAAATGGAACAGATGGGGACAAAAAGAGGAAAAACAAAGGCAAAGCCAGAGAGACACAGAGAAAGAGAAATGGAGTGAATTGCCTAGCACAAGTGCTTTGGAAGTGTGAGCCTACTGGCTCTCTATTTTAAATAATCAGAAACAAAAAGATGGAGGCTCACATTCTATGAAATGAGTGTGGTTTCACAGCAGCAGAAATATGTAAAAAGCAGTCACTTCATGCTCTGAAGAGGACACTCCAGCTTCGCATACAGCGTCGAAACAACATGGGAAGTAGCAGTTACCGGTTAAGTCTTTGCTCAATTGGCTTAGAGCATGACGCCAGGGGCTACTTCTGACGGTGGGAGAGGTCATTGCACCTCACTAGGTAGATACCGCCCGCCTTAAGCTGGGCAGCCCCCAGCGAGTAAGGTGCTACCTCACCACGGTCTGTTAACCACACAGGGTGCGTGGGGATTAGGGTGAAACCCGACAAGTAGATAGATAACCGTGCACCATGCAACAATCGTAAGAAAACTCCTGCCCTAAAGCTGGGCACCTGGGATGTAGGGATTGTCGCTCTCGAATTGGCCTTCTCAGCCACACTAGACGCTGTTCCAAGTCCTCCATGCAGAGCACGATATCATAGTCTCTTGAGACTGAAGGATGCCTATGATGAGTCACTTCATCATCATCTGTGTGTGTGTGTGTGTGAGAGAGAGAGAGAGTGAAGGAGAGGGAGACTGAGAGAGATGTGTAGCATGGGCAACTGGGACTATTCTTCCTTACCAAGGCAGAGAGAGGGGAATGGCAAGCATGTACAGCAGATGTGGGCAGCTGCAGAGATTCTGGAGACTGTCCCAACTCTATTTTATATCTCCCTGGACCTCTAAAGGCCATGCTCACCCCACTGTTCAAAACAGAAAGTGATGGGATGGTAATTCCAGTCTTGACAAAAGGGCAAACATGGGTGTGGACGGTTATTTTTGAAATGATGAACAATTTACTGGAAGTTCTGAGGGCACAATTCTCAATCAAAGGGCAGTGTTTTCATCCTTGGTGATGGATGTGCGTGTCCAGAGTCACACAGGAAGCCTTAACAGACAACACAATTTCTCACCTTGATTTAAGAGTTTCTTGGACAGAAGGCAAAAGAGTATTAGAAACAATGGAAGTTGTTTCTTGCAGAACTGATTGCTCAATCATTCCTGTCATGCTTTTAATACAAAGGGGTAAAATGTGGTCATTGGCAATTCTAACACTAGTTCACAAAGCCTCAAGTGTCCCATTCGCTATTCCCAAGTGCCTATCAGACTGGTCATCAAATGGGTGGAGGGGAGAAATTTAGCTTCTTTCTTCACATAATCATTTGTGAGGCAAAGTTAAATCATCAGCCACAACAGCAATCTTGATCATCATTGGGACTCAGGAAAAGTAAAGCTCCTCTGCCCATCGCAGCTATCTTGCCAAAATGAGCATTTTCACTGTTGCTAATAGCAGCAGTGAAACAACAATCACCTTGGTTCACCCATACGGAAAGGTAATAGAGACAAGGAATATGATTCAAGCATGAGTACATTTCACCAAAGAATTGAGATAGATGCAAATATGGAGCTATGAAGGCACACTTGACATGCTGTGGCTCCCAGCAAACTATTAGGATGACTTTTTTTGACTGAAACAATAGCATCAGAGGTAGGAGGAGATGACACTGATTTTATCACACATGAAAATGGTGTAGGGTTTACTGGCTCTGTCAATGTAACGTTTCAAGAGAGTTTCTGAAGATCAGAATTTCAAAGAATACTTTATTCGAATTAACAATGAGCAATCTCAATCAGAAACAAACAATACATATCCTTACCACTCTTCTGATTTTCAAGACTTCTTTATTCCCAATAACAAGGAAATGTTCCACCTCATTTTAATTTGTGAAGGTCCAGAATGCAAGTAGCCATCTCAATGTGTCAAGATGCTGGAGCAGTTTCAGGACAGGACACAGACTATGATGGTGGTTAGAGGTTTGGACTAGGATTCAAGGAGACCCGAGTTCAAATGCCTACTCTATCATGAAGCTTACTAGTGGCCCTTGGGACACAGTTATTTTCTCAGTCTGACTCATTTCACAGGGTGTTGTGAAAATAAAGTCAGAAGCAAGAGAGCCTTGTATGCTACTTGTACCTCATTGGAAGAAATGGCAGAACAGAAATCTCATACATACATGTGGTCACCATAAAACTGCATACATACATCTGATCACCATAAAAATACATTTAAGTTAAAGATAAAATTAAGTAGCTGGCTATAGATTGGACGGCGGATCTAATAAGCACCTGAGACAATGTTTCATCTACCAGTTCATAACTACACAAGGAGATGACATATGGAGAACCCTCTGTGAAAACAAGGATTTGCATTCAGAAAATGATGAACATCTCTTTGAGAAGAAGTATGATTATCATGACAACTAATATGAATATTAATATGAATATAAACAAGTTAGATCAGATAGAGCTATGCTGAAGTAAAAACATGAAACAGTGACTTTTCTTATGGAGAAGTTGCTATATAGCATATGCAACTGAAGTAATACATTAGTAAATCACATAAAGAGAAGATTAAATCTGAACTGTGTGTAAGAACAATTGAATGTTTGAGAGATCAAGAACAAAAGTAGTAAAAAAAAAGAACCACTTATTTTGTTCTTCTTTACAGACATTATGAAATATGTCCACAATGGTTACAAAGTGTACAGGTTACCATTATTTTTAGAATTGCGGAGTTGGAAGAGACCCTATGACTCACTGAGTCCAATCCTTGTCAAGGAGACACAGTAGGGAATCTCACAGAGACAAGTTATATATATCAAAATACTGAGAGGTATAATTAAAGAACCCCTCTTGGACACATATTTTGAAAGGTAAAACAGCTTCAGTGTTCCATGGCTCTGTATCAGTTCAAGCTTAAAATCTCACTAGAAGCTAAACTGAGGGCAAGACTCATAAAAACACAAGGAACAGTTGAAAATTACAAACAGAAGATCTACCATGAGATGTACTGTTTAAATAAAGTAAGCCAGTAAGCCATGGTCTTTAATTTTCAAGATCTGAGTAGGGGTGTCAATGACAGAACCTTCTGGAGGCCAGTAATTAATAGGGTTGCTCTAGGTATAGAAAGGATTAGTTAGCACATAACAAATTGTGAAAAATGAAACACAGTGGATCACCAACCTGACAAAAGTACAGGATCACCACCTGTTTCTAACTACTTGCAGTACAAATCTTGCCTAAGCAATCACCTTCAGCATTATTTCTCATACTAGGATCCTGTACCAGAAGGTAACTACTGGTTCTTCCTCTTGCCCATGGCAGAGAAGATCAGAAAAAGGATAGCTGTAAAAGAGTGGCTGCTTCTGTTTCTAGTCACTAGCGTGTGGGTCTCCCTCTGTGAGGCTTCATCTCATCTTTAGACCTCTCCTTCTCTGGGTACCACTAGCAGAAAATAATGGGTCTAGCAGGGTCGTCCAACTCCGGGACCCTGAGGAGGAAGGGAGCCTCCTTCCCCACCTCGCCCAGAGTTGCCCTCTCAGTACAGACGAAGAGGCGGATGCCACAAAACAGTAGCAGCTGTACCACTCAGCAAGGGCCAGGTGCGGTAAGTAAACAAACAAACAAACAAACGGGGGGGGTCGAGAGAGATCCTTACACCTGCCTCTTGGCGCACCTGTGCTCTCCTTTTGGGGCTTTCGGGCGGGAAGGCAGAGAAGCGGGAGCTCACCTGGGTCGAGGCTGCGCCTCTGGGCCCAACCTTGCCTCCCAGCCGCCCACAGAGACCGGAGAGGGCGCAGCAAAGGAGCCCCTTGCCTCCCTTTGCTCTCCCGGGCAGCTCCCTGAGGAGTTGCCAACTGGAGGACAAGGCGGGAAGAGGGGGGCACCCCAAAGGCCCGTTGCCGAGGACGCTGCACCCCCCCCCAATACACAAACCTTATGTGGAAGCCGCCCGCCGCCTCCCTCACACAATGCCTGCCCGCTCGCCCGCCCTGCTGCTCCACAACTTCCCCACCAGTTCCCTCATCACAGCCCAGCGCAAGCCGCCTCACAAAGCCCGCCCCGCCCGGCCTAACTGCGAAGCTGGCGCGCTCTTTCTCCTCTCCCGGAAGATGGGGAACGGCGACTCCCCACTCCCGAAAACACAGCCTTATTAAGAGGGCAGCCCTTACCTCCGACGCGGTACATGTTGGCAGCCATGCTGAGGCAGGACGACAACCCAGGCGGAGACGGCTCCGGCTCTTGCCCGCCCGCCCCCCTCCACCACCGGCCTTTCTCTCTCTCTTTCTGGGAAAGGAAGACCAGAGGGGCGGGGAACGGATTCGAGGGAGGGAATTAAAAGGGCCCTGCCAGCGGCATGACAGGCAGAGGCCCCTCACCCGCCAGGCTCAGGGCCGGAGGGAGACTGTGCGGGGTGGGGTGGGGGCGCGAAGGCCGGTCCTGCCCTCCCCGACCACAGGAGAGCGCTGCCTTCCCGGCGCCCCCGCGTGTTCACGAGAGACGCGAGACCAGGCAGGCCGCGCACGCGCCCTCGCTTGCCTTCCTGGCAGGGACGGCGGGGAGGGAGCGGGCGGCCATCATGGGACGTCCTCGTGCGTTCCGTCTGGGTGGGAGAGGCGATTCCTTGAGCCCCGGAAGGGATAAGGAGTGGAGGAGGAGGAGGAGTGCCTTTGGATGGGGAGCAGTGGGGTGGCTGACAAAAAAAGAGTAAAAATACAAAAACAAGGGATAAGGAGTGGAGGAGGAGAGACTTTGGATGGGGTGCAGTGGGGTGGCTGGCAAAAAAAGGGTAAAAATACAAAAACAAACAGACCAACAACAACAAACCAACAACTACGGGGGTCAGTTAGGAAGTGCCCACTTCTAGTTTTGCTTTGGCTACGGAATTAACAGGCAGACTAGTTTCCTCCCGTTCAAGAACCTCTGTCTAAAGTACTAACTCATAAGATTGCAATATAACATTTAAAAATAGCATATGCAGCCTAAATGTATACGGGCTAGGCATTGTTCTTTATTATGATAAACTACAGTCCCCTGAAGGTTAAATGTTAAACACCTAATTGCCAAAAGGAGAAGACAGGATGATCTCTGATAGAGGGTAATTACAGGGACTGCTTATTTGTATAGGAGAGGTCTTCTAAGCAATATATCTATCTATATTAATATTAGTCTTTTTAAAATTAGACTTATTTTTCAACATTGCTGGTGCTTGAGAGTGGACCAAAGGTTCAAGCTTGAAATTATTTATTATTAGTTGTAGTTTTATTTATATGCTGCATTTCTCCCAATGAGGGACCCCAAGCGGCTCACAACATTAAAATTCACACCATTTAAAAACACGCTAAGGTAAATATTAAAAGATAAACAATAAATGATTTAAAAATTAAATTGAAACATTAAAACATGGAAAATATTAAAATTATTTGCTGAAATGGGGTTCAGGGATTCAGTTGTAACTGTTAAAAGCCTGCCTGAAGAGATGGGTCTTTAGCTTTTTTCGGAAGGATGAAAGGGAGGGGCCAAGCCTAATCTCCTGAGGGAGAGCGTCCCATAACCTGGGAGCTGCCACAGAGAAAGCCCTCTTTCGTCTCCCCATCAGCTGTGCTTGTGCTGGCGATAGGACAGAGAGGAGGGTCTCCTCCACTGATCTTAATTGCTGAAAAGGTGCATATAGAGAGATACAGTCCTTCAGGTAGCCTAGACCCAAACTGTATAGGGCTTTGTAGGTAATGACCAGCACTTTGAATTGAGCCCGGACTGGTAGCCAGTGCAGATCTTGTAACAGGTGTGCTTTGTCCCCTGCCCGAAGGGAGCCTGCAAGAGGTGCTGGAGGAGGCAATCAGGCAGAGGCGGCGGCAGTGGGAGGCAGAGGCGAAGGAGCAGCCGTGCTCCCCCATTCCTTGCAGCTGCC